CAGAATGGTAGAAAATATCATAGCTAGATTAGCCCTGGAAAGAAAGAGATAAAACGAAATTATCCACACGAATAGGAAGAAAACGGGCAATTTGCCTATATAAAAAAAGAGGAAGAAGACATTATAGTTAATTGAAAAGTTACATTAATATTACATTTTTAAGAGGATGCAATTATCTTTTTTGATGTGTGGAGTGTAATAATGTGGAATATAAACTTAAGTTTAAGTTTGTAGGGTCGCCATTCTTGTCCCCCGGTCACCATCTTTTAACTTTTTTCTGGTCATTTTACAATAAAATTACATTCAATCAATATTATAGGGGGTTTTTCAAATAATAATTTTTACTACAAATTTGTTTAATTTCATTGATTTCTTTGGATTTTACAGAACTCTAATGTTCTTGAATACTCGTAAGAATACGATAAAAACGATTAGGCTTAGATTTCTAGTATAAGTAATTATATTTTTTTATTTATACAATTTATTATTTGTTAACATTGTTTTGTGATTATTCGTTTATTATATACTTTTTTCCGACCATGTATGAAGTAAAGTTTGAAGGCGCGTTTTTGTGTTATTCCCATTAGGCTTAATCCACAAACAATTTCTAAGTGAGATAATATTGAGCATAACTATATATTTAAGAAGTTGTTTTCCAGCTACTATTTGTTACTTTTCTTTGATAGTCGAGGCTGTGTTCCTAATTCAGTAGAGTTAGAATTGGCGTAATTGTGGGTAATTCATTTTCAAATTTTTGTTTAATTTTGATATTTCCATGATATTACTGCAGGTTTCACCAGAACAATTAAGGCACACTTTAGAGCATTTGAGGTCTGCGTTTTGGCAACCTCACATACTTTCACAGTTTGCCTTGCATCTGCAGAAAATTTATTTTAGAAGTTCAAGGGAGCTGGAGTTTTGAAAGTTTTGATTGGTATCCAAATTTTTTTACGTTTTTTTAGCCCCAAACTTCAGGATCGCAGTGTTTTCTGCTGATAAATTCTAAGACTTTCGAAACGTGCTGTATCTTGTGTTGGCGGAATCAATGATAAGTTAAATACATTTTTGGTCACTTTGGTCATTTTGGTCTCGGCAAATCGTTTGTATCTCATGCTGTCAGAGAATCATCTTTCTTTCCATTATATAAAGAGACAAAAAAATATTCGCCAACGACAGTGAGCAAAGATAGCTGGGCCTTCTCACTGAGAAATATTGTTGTTCGGCTAGCGAATTAAGGGTGTTTCTGTAAAATTTTAATGAATTTTGCCGATCTTGTAAGCTGCTGATGTTGTGTGGCAACTTGAAATAGCATGGGAAAATAGCAAAACTCTGCAATGATCGCCATACATAAAACTTAAAGGACAGTATAATTGATGCGACTTACACCCTTTTGAAGGTTTAAAAAAATTGGACACTTTTGACACACAACATTACACCGCTTAATTCTTAATGCCGTAAGCAAGACAAGAATGGCAATGTCGTCTGTTACGACGGTCTTAGAAGCATATGATTCAAATTAAGCAAGCGCAAAACAGGTTCTGACTGTGTCTGCATCAGATTCTGCCTGGACGACACTAAAACCCACTTCTAATAGAGCAGTTTGTGAAGATCCATTAGGTTATTTTGGTTCTCTACATTACTAAGAAGTTGATGTTAGGATACTGTTGGCACGGTACTCTTATTAAACGTTATCTCTGTCGATTTGTGCTTTTTCGTGCGACGCAAGCGCATGAGACGGAGAAAGTTTTTTGTTGGCAAAAAAGGTCGATAATAAAATAATAATAACATAGAACTGTTAAGAAAATGATAAATTGATTCCGAAAGATGTGAATAAAGAAATATATAACAGGAAACTAAGTGGAATTGTTCATTTTTATCATATTTTTATGAGTACTCATGAATCCGGTCAACTTCGGAATGCTATAAAACCGAAAGAAATTCATGAAATAAAACACATTTGCAGTAAAAATTATTCGTTGAAAACCTCTATAATAGTGCTCTCATGTCTTTTATTGCAAAATGACCAGAAAAAATTTATAAGGCTCAAGCAAAAGTTTGTTCAAAAACTTCCAGACTCTACCTCATAGGTGATTGGGAAAAAGATCAATAATAAACTAATGATACCATAGGAATCACGATGATCACTACACTCCCTTTGAGAGGAGAGATTGAAGAGAGAGAGAGAAAGAGCGAGAAACAGAGAGAGGGAGAGAGAGAGAGACCATAGGAAGGTTAACAAAATAATAAATGATATGAAGAAAAAAATATATAATAAAAAAACTAAGCTTAAGGTCGATTTAATGTAATTTTATTTTAAAATAACCAGAAAAAAGTTATAAGGCCCAAAAGATTTATTCAAAGATTTTAGTTATTTTTGTTTGTAACTTTTTTTTTCAATTTTCGATTAAAAGTTATATAAATAAATACAATTTAATTTGCTATAAATAATGTTTTATAAAATTTTCACACTCCTTTACACTCCTTATTTCAAGATGGCGAGTATTCAAGGACCCAATCAACATTGGAGCGCTGCAAAAACTAGAAAATGAATGAAATTAAACAAATTTTTAGTGAAAATTACTCTATGATATTGCTCTGATATCATTTTATTTATTAACGGAATCCATTTACAAAAGTTTTCACACAGCTACACAACCATCCATTTTTTTAAAATTTATTGTTTTTTTTTTTAATTATTGTTTTATTGTAAAATCGCTAGAAAAAGTTATAAGCGAAAAGCACAATAGAAAAATTTTTCAAAATTTTTTAGTTATTTTGGTTTATAACTTTTTTATTTTTTATTTTCCGATAAAAAGTAATACAGATAAAGTTGTAGAAAATTTAATTTGGTAAAAATAATGATTTATAAAATTTTCTGTAGAGTTGCTAATTTACGAGATACAGCGCAAAAACCCTTTGCCTCTCTTTTTCCAAGATGACGGCCGGGGAACAAGGGTTGCGACTTCACAAACTTGAATTGAAGTTTATACTCACCACCCCCACATATCAAAAAAATTAAATTGCGTCCTTTCAAAAATCTAATCTCAATGTAACTTTTCAATTGAATAAAAAATAAGTAGCTTATTCTATACGAGTATATAAATAGAAATACGTGTTCGTTTATTAAAAATTTCAGTGTCGAAGTAATTTCTGTGAAACAAAATATCCTCGTTTATTTTACTAAATATATACACTGTATACCAATACATTTTCCAACACATAAA